TATCAAAAAAGTACTCCAGAGTGTTGTTCAGCATGGGGGTGAGTAGAAAATGAAGGCTAATCATGTTTTGGGTGTACTATTCCTTTAAACACAAGGTTTAAGTGTCGATCTCGTCATGTAATATCCTGAATTTTCTGAGAACATTTAGTTTTTGCAAAAATATGCTTTACATCTATAATTAAACATTACCTTTCCAATAAAAAAAAGCACTTTATCAACTTGTATCTGTAATACAGCCTGTTGGAACAGCTGACACACCTTGGCCTCTGCTACACGTTTCATCTCCACATATTTGATGTCCTGCGTCCTCATCACTTTCTTCTGCTCCTCTGTCACCTCTTCCTCTGTTTTCTTCATCACATGAACTCCATCCTGTCAGTATGCAACCACCCACAGCAAAAAAAAACATCAACATGTCAGTCTGACAACGGTATAAAGGAATCTCTATAAATGAGTCTTAAAAAGAAGCTGGATTATCTGTAACCTCTAGTTTGGAGCTGATCATGTTGAAGTAAAACTCATCCGGGTTTTTCTCCATAGCTTTTTTTCGCAGAGCAGCAAGAGTGTTTTGTTTCTTGTGATAGTCACTTTAACATTAACAAGGGATACAGAAAAAGATTAATTCGTATAGTATTCAATGATTTAAATAAAGTAAAAATAAAAATAAACTTGAAGCTTACTCTGCTCGGAGTTTGTAGTCCTTCTTCTTCTCCAACAAACCCAACGTTTTCCTGGAAACGAGCTGTTTTGACAGAATGCAATCATTACTTAATAATATCGTTGCTCTGAAAATCAAAACACAAACATATGTCGCTTGGATTACCAACAAAAAAAACAACAGCTAGATGTTTACCTGAGATCTCTCATGGTGGTTCCTCTGTTTGGACTTCAGCGCTTTCCTGAATGAAGACATGGTTAGGTAGTGTTTAAAAACCTATGCCCCGCCAAACACCGTCAAAATAGATAAATGGGAACTTTTATATCGCAGAAACAGAGAAAGCTAACTGTTTCTTTGGACCCGTTCCTTCCTATGTGAGCGAAACACGTGGTTTCCTGTCTGCCGGCGTGTTTCTCATTTCCTGGCAGCAGATTCGACGCTTTATAGCAAAACTTTTCAGAAAAGTAACCGAAAGAATCCTAAGATATCAAATACAAAAACAAAAAAATACATATATTTTACTTTGATAAAAAGTCGCCATTGTAATTTTATTTTATTTTTTGTCAAATTCTTGCGACATCTCTTTTGGATTCT